ATTTACATATGTATGTACATACAAACGAGCACCAATTAATTTTATTTAAAGAAATGGCGTGTCGTCTATTTCCGCTGTAGCAAACGTAGTACATAGGGCGACATCTAGATGTCATCTACCTCGCCCTATTCACTACAGATGTCGCCCTATGCACTATGCTTTTTTATGGGAGCTTTTCAAAGCAAAGGTTTTATGGTGTCGGACACACAACATTGAAAGTTTCTGGATCCACAACATTGAAATTTTCTGGACACACAACATTGCAAGTTGATAAAAGCGTTGTAATTACTTTTAGATTTTGAAACCAATAAGACGAGGAGAGTAGTTTTTGCCTTAAACGAATTAACTAACAAAGTTATGAGTATTTCTTGGTCGAGATATTTATAGTACCTTTTGTTACAAAATTGATACTCGGTACAATCTCTGTTTCTTTGCATTCAAATGGAAGTTTTTATTTTGTTGATCGAATTTTTTGTTATAAATCCATGGATCGTCAATAGCCTGGTACCGCACTTTAAATTATAAATGTTTTCTTTATATAAAGTGTCATTTTTTTGCAATCACACAACAATACTCTTCAATGTACCAGCGTCAAGTTATTACTTTTTCATTTGTCTGCAAAAAAAACAGTCTGCTATGCACAGCTGCTGCTCGTCCCTTTTTCAAGTAAATTCGAACGACTTTCACGCGGCTTCATCACAACTGTCTTGACTTGTCACATTGTAAAATACTTTCTATATCCCCTTGCACATAAAAATGTGTATTTATTTGGCATGGTTTCCCCTCCTTACTATCCTATCCTCGAATCGGTTCAAATTTACATCCAACGCCCCTTTGCCAATTTTCTGTGTCTGTCAGTACATACTCGTACTATGTAATATATACTCACATAAACTACATGTATGTGTATAAATGTAAAATATAAAATTTTTTACTTTCCTCTTGTTTATTAGCTGTTGCCGGTTTCCCGCCATTTGCCCACAAAAATGAAAGAGGCCATAAAAATGTGCGGTAGTAAATATTTTAGAGGCGTAAAATTTTTAACTCGCTAAATTTGCCTTTTGAAAATATCCCCTTTTTCTGTCGCAGGGAATTTATTGCTGAAGAATATTTGTATTTATTCCCGATTTACATTTCATGTCCTATTTTTAAGATTTGTTGAGGATTTTACTGTTATAGTGGTTGCATAAAATAAAGAGGAAAGGACAATTTTACGCGCTTTACAATCTTTTATTAGCAAATTTTCTCATGCAAATCCGTTTCTAAAATATTTGGCGATTTTTATGTACTATCGTAAATGGGTGGTAGGCGCTACCTAAACAGCTACTTAGGCATTCAAAGGGTAAAAAATTTGTATTATCGGGTCACCTTTACCGCCCTGAATCTATTTATGATAAAAAAAATACTCATGCGGAGCTCGGCTCTTAATGTTATAAATAAAATAATTTCGAAACTCTAATACAAATGAATTTCACATAAATTGAGTTGAATTGAATTGAATTGCAGAACCTGATTACTAGAAATTCATTTTCGTCTCTTCAGGATTCAGGCCCGTTTTTGAAGCTATTTTCTCCCTCCTTTTGGCACTAGAGCGGTTGAAAAAAAAACAAAGGTAAAACCTATGAATTTTTGAAGAAATTTCTGAAATTTGTTTGGAAATTTTTTTAGAGAAAATTCGGTTTTAGCGCTTTGCCACCTTTTCTGCCAAGCAATTGGAAAATTCTTACGAGTAACTAAGTAACTCCTATCACACTTAAAGTAAGTTTCATAAAGCAATTTATGTGCCATTTTTTTAATTGAATATGAAAACAGACAGAAGAGAAAAAATCATTATTTAATTAAATTGCTGCTGAAGCTGGCAGTTAATCTTCTTCACGTTGTTTATTTAAATCCAGGGAGGAGTTAATTTTAAAATCATCTTCACTGAAAAATAAATTGCTTCCAAATATTACTATTAATTGATCGAATTGGTTTCAAGAACATTTTTAATTTTTTCAAAACACAGAGATATTTACCAGCTTAACCCTTTCAGCAGCAAAAAGTTATTTCAATCCTAAGGATATTGTTTGAATTTAAGCGGTTTCGTTTTTTTATGTTTTAAAATTTCGCCTATTTTTTATTTAGATTATTGTAAATTTTTTTGAAATTATTTTCCACATATCAAAATTACAACGAACTTACATTAAAATATATGTATTTTCTCTGAAATGTTATTGCCACCAAAATTAGAAAAATCTACTAAAAATTTAATGGGAACCATGTTTTGGGAAAATATTACTTCAGGAAATTTTTTTGGGAAAAAAATAATTATTTTGGGACGAAAATAATATTTGTTAAAAAAATTTATTTATTTTGAGAAAAAATAATGAGTAATATTTCTCTTAAAAAATAGTTTTTTTTACAAAATTTGTTTAATAGTAAAATGACAATTTTTAATTTAACTTTAACAACTATAATTTAAAAGTGGTAGAAGTTACAGTATGAATAACTACCATAGATTTAACTGACGTTCTTCTTTTATACATTGCTAAGAAACCACGCGAGGTCCCTTGGCTGACTGCCATTATGTACTCACTGAGCTAAGTTCACCATGTAAATTGTTGTTCCTCTTCACATTCAATTTTAACAAAATACTAAAAATAAAGATTAAAAAAATGTTCATTGATGGTAATTTTTTGGAAGCAGTTAATTTTTTCACATCAATTAGTCTCAAATAGGACAGACTTTAATTACAATCAGTTAAACTAGCTAAAAAAAAAACTATTGTTAAAAAGTTCTCTTAATATGCAAACGTGAAAGTATACATAGTTTGTACGCAAATGTGTGGATTTCAAGTCAGTCGTCATTTTATTTATACCTCTAAAAATATTTGTTTTTAAAAATATTTATTTCCAAAAATTGTCCAGACCTGCGTTGAGCTTTCAATCGCAGCTCTGAAAAGTTGAACTACTCAAATCGCACGTCCCTCATTTAGTGTTCAAAATTTGTACTTATTTAACTTTCTCAAAATATTTTCGTTTCTCTTCTTTATCCATTAACTTTAGTTAAACACGTTTCTGTAAGCAACTCATCCGCAGTTGACTTCCGTAATCGTGTTTAGCCAACAGCATTTCCTGGTACTAATGCGTTCTAGAATTACACAAGCGGAGCAAAAAACATTTAAAAAAAATAGAAGTGAAACGAGGAAAAGCTTGGTGCAATGGAAATGAGATAAATATTAGTAAAATACATAGATTAAGCACGCAGTGCAAATCCAAAAAAGCATTTACTAATATGTACTGCTGCATGTACGAGTTTTAAGCGCCTAGATATACATGGCGTATGAGTAATTTTAAAAATACTGATTTTGCATCAAATTTAACATGTGGCAGTAGTTAACTTTTAGATTTGTTTTAAGAATCTATACCAAAGTTTGAAATATCAAACTTATAGTCTAGGGCCGTCTTTGTTAAAAAAAAGTAAAGTTCAAACAAAAACGAGGTAAATTGAGCTGAAATAAATAAAATTATGTATTGTCCACCAGTTCAGTTTTTTACAAAAATTACTTGTTTAGTCATTAAACCAAATGGCATGCATATTTTGCAACGTTTGGAAGCCGTGTAGAGCTACTTAAAAAATATGTATTATTTTCATTTCAATAAAAAAAATTTATGTTTTTAAGTATTTGTTTTATCATTTTTCATTTTAAACTTGTTCTATATTCACTATTTCTTCTTTATTTACTTCGCAGGTGGATCTTCGGCATATCGACGAACTCAACGGCACAAATGTTGTAGAAGTTGGTGTGGACTTATCAGAATTTTACACATCAGTCGAATGGGATATATTAGAAGTTCCTGCAGTGCGGTAAGTTATCTACTTACATATTTGTTATTTTAGCTATTCATATGTTGCATAAAATATTAAAATCTTCGGGGAAACTATCTTTAGAAGTAAATCTTATATAAGCAAACATTTATTTTAAGCTCAAAAATAACTACACTAGCTAAACGATATTTTCTTTATATATTCACTTTATGTAGTTTGTCATCTACCATTTCTTATCGGCAGCTAAAAACCAAAGTAAATTCGCTTAGCGCTCTGAGTCGAGCGTAACTAAAACAAAAGCTGCTCTTCTAACTAATGTAGCTACTGTTAGAAACGTAGTGAATATCTCACTCAGCAATGGCTGGGCGAATGCCATAGCCAAGTGGTGTGAGGAGCGTTCTACTACTTGATGGGCCCAGATTCGATTACTGGTTTGACAAATATCCACATTTTTTTCTACAGCGCGTGCGCCGCAATCACAAAACACATAGTGTATTCCTGCATACATATAAGCGTCCTACAAAGAGTCATCCGCTTTTCGAAGGCGACGCGACAATGCTAATTTCTTTGAGTTTACAGCTAGTTGTATGTTCACCGGGAGAACAGTGTCCCGTGATCGTGGCTGTTAATCCGACGATTTTTTTTAGCTCTTTAGGAGGTTTTACGTTTTTGATTTTTACTATTGGGAATAGGTATTCCTTTTGTGTTATAGGTTTTAGGATGTGATTCGTGAGAGTTGCTACTGCGGGCAGACAGTTTGTTGGCTCGGCTTCCAACTCTGATCCAGACTTAGTAAATTTGACAGACCTCTTGTTATTCCTAGGGCCGGGTACTAAGACGAGTGACACATCCATTGTTTCGGTGTAATCCGTGACTAATTACAGTTTTTATTATTGATGGTGCCGTTCCGAAAATGCTTGGTTATCTGTGGAAATGTATGCTAATTGTACTTACTCCTAGTTACACTGTTTTTTAATAGCCTTCAGGTGCCCTTGGTACTTCCGCTCAGAAGTTCGAAACGAGAGAGTTCATCATTTCAACAAATTATCCCAATCCCGCAACGCAGTTCATTTTAGGCCAATCAGTATAGAATCCAGCAGAATTCTCCTCGATAATCTTGCCTCTACTCAAACCCCATCTATTTAGAAGTGAAAGTCACCTGAAATTAAATATGTTAAAAAAGTTTTGTTGCCGAATATAAGCGATTTTTTTCCTGTAAGGCATATATAATTAACAATATGATTTTTAGTAATTTATAACTTAATCCAACGCTACACAGTGTGGAAAATGGATTCCTTGACCTAAGAATGGCGAAAATATATCTAAAAAAATTTGTTTAAAGTTCATTACAACCTGTTTTCAGGTAAAATTAAAATTTAAAACTTTTTTTCGGAAGATCCTAGGTATTCTTTTTATTTATGGAGACAAAAAAATGTGAATTTTCAACACTGTGCACCAAGTAAATTTTTTTTATGCAAACCTTCCCCTGTTAACAAGCCAATGTTTTTTTTTATTACTAAGAAGAAGATAAGTATCCCAATGGGTAATATTTCAAATTATTCAAAATGAGCTGCTTATAAATTAGGAACAATTTACTACATACGTACATACATAGAAAAGTTAAGAGACTAGCCAAAGTAGATGATTCGTGGCTGCGATCGTCTCCTTTTTCCTTAAAATTTGTATTCACTAGCGAAGTAGTTGATTATAGTGCTATTTATGAAGGTGTCCTTAAATATTAAAGTGACAAAAATTAACATTTTTTATTGCAACTACATACATATGCTCTTCTGTGTTTTCCAAATGATTATCTCTGTACATTAGACTGCATCACTCCCCATACAAAACAAAAAGAATCGGTACTGTGTGTCCATTGGAATATATTTCGGAAAAATATTAAGATTCACATGACCTGGACCGATTTGAAAATACCCATAAAAATGGAGTTTTTGTATGAATAAAAATAGTTTCTTAAATTTTTTTTAAATCCCCTCAAACGACAAAACGGTTTAAGCTTAAAAAATTTGCATAAAAATATTTTTAAAAATTTGTTTAAAATGTTTAACGGAATCATAATGTTGAGATTTTTGATGCTGTTTTTTAACTTTCTTCAAAGATTGATATAAGAAAAACTTCAATAACTGAACCTAAACTACTCCGATATAGACTTGTGAGGTATCATTGGAAAGGTATTTTCTCTTTTTACTTCTTTGCTAATAAACTCATTCAAAGGATGAAAGAGAAAGGTAGGATGAACGAACATCATTCAAAGTTGAATTAAGATATGTTGGTATTTGAAAAAAAAAATAATTGGACACGAATGATTTTTTTTTTTGGACAGAAATAAAAATAGTGGGAAAATACCTTTCTACTGAGATTCCATAAGTCTAAATCAGAATAGTTTTGGTCCAGTTATTCAGTTTTTCGTAAATCAATCTTTGAAAAAAGTAAAAAAAGCATATTACGATTTCGGTAAAACTATTTTTAAATATTTGTATGCACATTTTTTAAGCTTAATCTGTTTTGTCATCTGAGGGGACTTTTTTCAAAAAGTTCTTTAAGAAACTACTTGTATTCATAAAAAACTTAATTTTTGGAGGTATTTTCAAATCGGTCCAGCTCAAGTAAATCTTAATATTTTTCCGAAATATTTTGGTGGACGTCTTAAAATATAATGGATTTTGTAATTCCGGCCGAAAAACCGCAACTTTTTTTGGTGATTCAGTCTAATGTACATATGTATATGTTTGACATTGCTCTCTTCCTAAGATGTTAACGAAGATGTGTGTATGCGTATTGAGTTGGCAGCATAAATTTGACAATGCAAATTGCCATTTGCCTCGTAACAAGACATCCCTGGGCAGTGTATGTACGACATATGTTTTATCCCCTAACGCATGAATACATGCATTTACGTAGTACAAATATATGTATGTACGTGCATAACTGCATAGGAAATATTAAGACAGTTTGTCTTCGTCACAATTACCCACAAGGGAAACACGTGGACAGTCGACATGGCAATAAACTAAGGCCTGTAAAAAGTAGGCGACCTTTTATTAAGTGACTATCGCATTGTGTGCCCAAAACATGGCTACAACGATGATTGTGACACAATGTCACGTGCTGCTTTGCCATCAAGCAAAAAACGTGCGTATAAAGATTATGTATGAATGTGAATAAGAAAAAAGTAAAAGGAAAAAAAACAGTTTCTTACAGAAAAAAATATTAATGTGTGAGAAGACAAGCACACATACATAACTGCAAACATACTTATTTCCCAAAAGATTATAAAGCTATAGACCTTGCCTCATGAAAAAAAAACTCAATAAAGGTATGCCTTCATGTGTCACAAAAGCCACGAGCCCGCACATTGCCAACTATGGTTAAAAGAAAATAGTAGCTGCTACGAGTACCAAGAAAACTATGCACTTTTCCGCCTTTTAACTTTTGGTCTTTGTTTGTTTTTTTGTATTTTTTATTCTTTTTTTTACTTTGTCTTTTCTAACTTTTGTCTTTACTGCACGCTCCATTTTCCTAACTGCCATGATGCCAGAAGCGACGTAAAGAACTACTATTAAAAAGGCGAATATAAAAAAGTTGCTTGCAAAGAGCCTTTGGCGTGACAAAAGCATTTGCGAGAGTATGTATGCAAGTATGTATGTAGCAGATAAGGTGTCAGCTGCTCTCTTTGTTGTTTGAACTACTGCAGTGGCATTTTTGAGGCGTTTGTGAAGGCTTTTGTTTGTGCGGCGTGCATGCTTTTCTATGCGTTGCTCACATGTGTTGCACTATTTTTTTCTGTTCCACCTTTTTTTAGGTTCGTAGTTTCATAGTGTCTAGATTCTAGAAGCATGCTATTTATATGTATATGAACTTGCCATGATAAAAAATTATGTCGCTAAATAGGGAACATTTGTAAATAAAGACATTTGCTTCTAAATTGATAATTGAGATTTGTTGCATTTTTTGTAGAAGTATAAGATAAAGAGTGCCGTAAGTCAGTCATTACCAAACAGTACAAAGACCTTTGTGGGTTGACGAGGTTTGCTGAACGGCTTTGCTGCGCCTGTTGCTATATATGTACTAAAAATATTACCTTACGCTACGTATGTACATTAGACCACATAACCAAACAAAGTTGCGGATTTTCCGCCGGGATTACAAAATCTATTATATTTGAAGCCGTTCGCCAAAATATTTCGAAAAAATAATAAGATCTACGTGAGCTGGACCGATTTGAAAATACCTGCAAAAATGGAGTTTTTTATAAATAAAAACAGTTTCTAAAGAACTATTTGAAAAAAAATTCCCTCAGATGAAAAAATAGATTAAGCTTAAAAAATCTGCATAAAAATATTTTTAACGGAATCATCATAATGAGATTTTTTATGCTGTTTTTTGACTTTTTTCAAAGATCGATTTACTCCATTTTCGGAGGTATTTTCAAATCGGTCCAGCTCACGTGAATCTTATAATTTTTCCGAAATATTTTGGTGGAAGTCTTAAAATATAATAGATTTTATAATTCCAGTAAAAACACAGTACCATTTTTTTTTGTATGGGAAGTGATACAGTCTAATGTATATAGAATATATTTCGAAACTACTAAGGTGTCAAACATTTCGCCGACTTTAAGAAAAAAAAATACTCAAATCAAAAAAGTACTGAAAAAAATTATCAAAAGTTACCGAAAAAGAGTAAACAATAAAATATGGCTTTATGGCAAGAGTTCAGTTTTCCCTTAGTCGATATTATTTCCTGACCTGCAGATTCTCCAGACAGAGAACCGCACCAAGCTCTTTTTCCATATTTCTTTTTCCATCATTCGTTACACTAGCGCTTTCATTATTCCCTAGCTGAAAATCGTAACAGAATTCCTAAAGTGGAAGTCCCAGAGTTAAGTAATGTGATCAGTACCGTCTAAAAGACACTGCACTGGTCAGTGAGTCGGAGTTTTAATCCAGCCGTGTAAACTTTGATTGAATTTTCTTCGCTGAACGTGTCCAATCTCCAATGTTCCTTGGAGTTGGCGGGAAAACG